CCATCTTGGCGAGCAGCGCCTGCGCCGCGCCGTCCACCGCCTTCTCGAGGCGCGCCACCCGCGCCTGCACGTCCAGCAGGCGCGCTCGGTCGTGAGTGAGGTGTTGCACGGCCTCCTCCACGCGCGCCAGCCGCTCCGCCACGTCCTCCAGGCGGTCGTCGGCGGACGGCTCCTCCTCCACGATGCGCTGCGGGTGGATGCTGCAAGCCACGCGATCAAGCTCACAAGCCGGCTCGCTTATCAGTCAGTCAGCCGGTATAATTATTTTTAATAAAATTGGTGAACATCGAGAAATAGGAGAGACGAAAGTAATAAGGACAAGCATGCGCAGTCACAAACAAGATCGGGGTGAGACCTACTATATTTTTTGTCCCCTCTGTTTTAAGAGAAATTTTACTAGAATGAAATACGTATATTACAGGGAAAATTAATTGTAGATTTCATACATAAAATTGATATTTACCATTATTTGATATAACCATTTATACTGTCCCCAGATGGATTGAAGTGTCTTTTCCATTAAAGAATTTAATTTTTACCAAAGTGTCTGTTTAATATGGGGAATCTCCTGAATTGAACATGTTTAAAAAAATATAATAAATTACGTAAGGCTACGGAGCCCTTTTCATGACTGCCATGCCCCCCCTGCACCCTCGTTCTATGCACACCGTCTTAGCAAAAAGCAAATGTCACTTGTTGGTCAACATTACCTTAGTTTCTTGTTCCACGATCTCTTCTCTCTCGGAGTGCCTCCAGAATAACCCAGATCGTTCTCCATTTCTACAACTTGTAACAAAAAGTATTACAAATCAATTTCAGCTGTGATCTAGAGAGCATTAAACCTATAACTTCAATATCAAATTGAATAAAGAATAATAATTAATTTGATGTTAAAAGCAATGATAATTTTTAAATTTATAAACAAATTCGAAAAGACTGATTTACAGAATATTTGTTAGAAGGGACTTACTTTTTCTTCTCAGTTTATTTCTGTTCATAAATTGCCTTATTGTACAATGCACTTTATGGTGATGAGCATTTTTCATCATACAATATTTTCATAAAGGTCTCGAAAATATACCGTAACAACACCATTCAGTCTTAATCTTTACAGACCTAGTGGTGTTTCAACACATTCTCGCTAATCAGTGAAAAGTAATTCTAAGAATTTCACATTCCCATTGGGAATGCCACTGTACTATATTGACATGACTCTTCAGCAAAATAAGCGCGGGAAAATTTGAATTTACAATTTCGAAAAAAAACGAAAATTTCCCGAAATTCCTCACATTTTGACAAAAAAATATTTGGAGCTTTTTTAGAAAATATTTTTTTAATTATTTTCTTTATTCCATGTAAAATCACGCGAAAACTACTAAGATTGTTTGGAAAATTGTACGTGACTTATTAGAGAATCCATCTTTTCTTTCTCAAGACGATTTCTGTTGAAAATCGCAGTTTTTGCCGCAGAAATTAGTCCTTTCCCTATGCTAAGTAAGAGACTACTAGAAACAAAAATTGTAATGTGATTAGCCAATTAGAACTCTTGGGTCATGTTATGTACGACACCTGAATAAAACTATTATATACTCACGGAAAAGAAACTGTAGAGAGTTAACGCACATACTTTTGTTCGTTCTCCCATCATTTACCTCTACGATATACTCGTATCCTGGTATTAAGTAAATTTAACTCTTAATTTTTATTAAGTTAATCACACTCACCTTTTTGTGTTGTAACGAATGGTGACCATACAACTTTCTAATTTACCTGCATTATTTTTTCTAATTAAACCAAGGAATTGAATAACTAAAAATTCTTGAAAATGTCTGAAATACTTTTAGAGGAATATATTATAGAAAATAGTTTTGTTATGTGTATCTACTTGTCAAAATATTGGCTCTGACTAGCACCTCTATTAAAACAGATGTGAAAGAAAAAAGGCATTTCTCGATTCAAATGCCACATTAAAATTGCTTTTCAGGGTTATAGGAAGGCTAGAAGTAGTAGTTTGAGATGTAATCGGTAGCACACTAGTAAGAATTTTAGACTTTTGTAACAGCCTATTTTCCCTAGACTGCGTCATCTTCCCAGAAATATTACGACGCAATACTACAGGTAATGCAACGAGGCGTAAACGTTACGTACAGTTCGATAACCGTATATGTGGCCAAACTGTCTCATTCGGTTACTTTAATGTTAATTCAACATTAAAAACAAACTACGAAAACTAATGAAATAAAAAAAACTTGTTTAATCTACTACGGGATATCTTAAAAATGATAACAGAAGTGAAAACAATTACAATGAATTAGAGCGTGAAGAACACATTGCGAATCTAAAAACTTAATTTAATGAAAAATAATATATTATCTAACGAGTAATATTAAACATTTTTCAGTTTGTTTGAAAGATTTGAAAGAAGCAGGAATTATAAAAAGTAGACAATGAATCAGAAGATGCTTTTGTAAAACAATCCATAAGCATTACTCACGTTTAGCAATAACAAACAGAGCTTGTAAACAGTTCTCGCGTCACATCACATCCAGTCACATTCTTCACGCTGTTGTTCTAACTGCAAGAACACTCTTTTGGCTTGTTTTATCCCTTGAATGAATGAGGTGTGGAAGCCAACTGCATGCGACGCCCTTCACAACACCAGGCTGTGTAAACGGTAACGCACCGATAACGAGGTGAATCAGAGATGGATACAACCTAAATATGATAAGAACGCCACGGTATACGCGATAAGGCAACGCACAGCGGGCGTTCTTAGAGACAATTTGGCATTGTCGTTTTTAATTAGGATTAACAACTTTCGAAGTTTCGTACGTTTTCAGGCAGTCATGGCTCATGCATGTGCTCAGCATTCATGCTCAGACAAAATATGGCATCTCCTGCGGGTACTTTTAAGTTGAAAATTTTGTTCGTGCTAAGCAAGTTCATATTAAAAAATAGGAATTTAAATACAATTCATTTGCCTGTCTATCCTACCAGTTTCCTGCCAGACACTTGATATGAAAAAAGATAGAAAAATATGTTTTTCAAAATTTATATGTTCGTACGGTACCACCAATCTAATTTATCCCGTTTTAAAGAGCCACGTTGAAAAGGCAGTGTTGTAATTCACAACTTTTCACCAGAGAACATGACTAACTTCTGAAAAACAGTTTTTTTGAGACATATTCTAGAAAGATCAACTAAACATAGCGCCACTCGATTGGTCCCTTCAGGAGAAATCGAATGAACAATTTATCATCTCCGTAGGTGCCTTAAAACTTCACCAATACGCATAGTCCCTTAAAACCCCCAAAACATGTTGTTTTTTTGGTAAATTCTCTTAGAATGTTCTCGAAATATCCGGGAAAATTATAATATCACCTCCAGCACACCGAGACCCGTCAAATGGCACTTTGCTTGTCCCAAACAGTGGAACAAAAGTGTTCTAACCATGAGTTACACAACAGCAGAAGGACAGCATTTCACAAGGTCAGAGCGAGAACAGATCAGCACGACATTAGAACATTCAGACACACTGACACGCAGATTACCCATTTACTGTAAGTACGATGAAAATTGTTGTAACATGAAATATCTGCATGTATATTTACTACATGTAGGATGAAATATTTAGTACATGAAGGATGACATTGTTCCTTTTATTTTCACTTCCCCCTACATGTCACCAATGCTTCAACAAATTTTTTTATAACTAAAAGCTAGTAATTCTTCACAGAGACCGGTTATAAAAAGTTACATCCATCTCAGAAGAAACTCCCACGACTTCTAATCACACGACAGATAAAATACTATTTCTTTTGTTTTTATTGATCTTTATTGCTACATGAAAATTATGTTACTGTAAAATTAATATAAAAAATAATTATATGTACCTATTGTAGGTACTTTCTCTCACGTAGGGTTTAGATTTGACTTCATGTGGGATAGGGAATCCTGGAATTTGACAGTACCAAACAGCTGAACTTCCTTTTTAGGGATGCAAGTCTCCAAAACTAACTCTAATAAATGATATTGATGATTCTTACTTTTAATCCAAAGATTAGTATCTATGTATTTGTTAATTTGCGACTATCCATCCACACCTAGAACGAAAGGAGGATGTTAGAAAATACGTTATACAAATCTGAAACAAGTAGTTAACAAAGAATTTTCTCCGAATTATGATTTCACTTGTGTGACTCATTCCAATCAGTTTCGCCCTGATATCCTTATTCATCTGTGTCGGCAATCAATGAGTCAACATTTCAAATTAGGATCTGTTATAAATAACGGACGTAGAATACCCACTATCTATATTACTAATTTCCTATGTATGCAGATATTGAAAAAAAACTATGCAGCCTTCAGCCATGTGGTCATGTGACCAAGTTTCCAAAAAAGAGCCCCCCCTCCCATTACATATTCGCTATTAACGTGTTGCGTTATGCAACAGCAACTTTTTGTATATTATTGGTATGTAAACATATGTTATTCTGTGTATATTCTACGTTACGTTTTCTTTAAAAACTGGCTATTGTTAAAATATTTAATTTATTAGGGTGCAATACGAGAGTGTTTTATTTGTGATTATGTTGTGATGTTTATTTGTGATGTGATGGTGTTGCAATACGAGCTATTTTTTGGAAAACCATTTTATGTGCTTTTGTTCAGCAGTATTTTTTCTGCTGCTGCTACTGCTGCTGCTGGACAGTATTTATGAAGTGACTAGTATTTTGAATTTCAATGGTTCCGACTTCACATCTATCTTGAAGTCGAGTCATTTCACCTCCTCTTTCAGTATTAAAGTTGTGGTATTACGTACTTTTAATTTCCATCAGAGGCATGCAATTAACAATACTGGTACTTGGCTGACCGGGGCGAGCCGTGTCAAGTCCCAAATGCCTTGGCGATGGAAGCCTATGAATCCATTCATAGCAATAACTGTGTGTAAGCAAGAAATTTAAAGGAAGATCTCTGTACAGAAATGTTAACTGTTAAAAAGCAACTTTTTAATTTATTTTTTAAGTACTGCATCTTTTTTATCGGGCAAAACAATACGGATGGAAAAATGATAGGATAGCTTTCGACAGTACTTATTATACTCTTGAGGACGCTAGACTAGCGCAAAGTAAACTAACACGTCGAAGTTGAAGCTCTCAATACTTAATAAATACTTCTGCAAAGAGAAAAAAGGTTCGGAATGTCTCTTAATTGACTTCTTTTTTTATATTTTGTCACTTTCTTTTGCAATCCATTATCCAAGTAGCAAGAGAAGCTTGTTATTGAGTCTTATTCAATAAAGATTCTTTAAGTATATTTATAACCATTCAATAGTGAGTCACTTGAGACATTTAGTCACTCAACAGTGATTCATTAAAGATGAATAGTTAATTAGCCACACAATCTTAAACACCTAACCAATACTCTCGGGATAATGATAAGTAATTCTTCTTGGGACGTAAGTACTCAAAGTAATAAAACTCACAACGTAGTTTTTATAAAAACGTTTCTCTAAAATGATTCTTTTTGAAATAGAAGTCTTCGTGAAATAATCGTAATTGCTTTAATGATACAATAAAAATTATTTTTCTGATCTTCACGAAAATATAATCCACATCATGTTTTACATGTGAACCGATGATTATGAAGGGAAACCCGAACCCAGAGTTCATAGCCGAAACTGAAAACTCCGCCAATGTAACTGTTTACATTGGCAGAGTTTTGCACAGTAGACATCCAGCAATGGAGATGTAAGCGTAAAAGTCATTTGTTGTATCAGTTGTATATGAGTTAGAAGAAGCAAATATTAAACCAGGAATTCAACAGAATGAGGTTCTTTGCAAATTGCTTATGCTTAGAAGCGTGGGAGTGTTTTGGCTACAGAACTGGATGTTCACTCACGGTTTTGCAAGAGTGAATATTGACAGTGAAAAATATATTTTACTTGCAGACTTTAATAATAAAGTTTTAATGTTCCTTTAAATGAATTTTTTGCATCAAATCATGAAATAAGTTAAAATGTCGGGCCGATGTTTATTAGTGTGAAAGTAATGAGTTCTTATCCACTTTCGCAAATTGCAAGTTTCTGATTCCACACATCTTCAATTCGCGACACGAGAGATAGATCGCACTAGATATCAGTCGAACTCTGCAACCTTCCAGGTTTTAGCTTTTCTTATCGCTCTTGATTAGATGCGTTGGGTAAATTTCCTGAAAGCGATAAATCATAGTCTTGTGACAGTTGGTGGTTGGATTTCGTCGTTTTCGCAAATGCGGACTTTTCAGGAAATTGCGAGCGTTACAAAACAACTAAAGTGCTCATCAAATTGACTTATCGTAAGAATGTAAGTACTGGTCATGAATTTTATGGGAATTTAGTATGTCCGTTTTGCAGTTGCTGTCGAAGTCGAGAAAGCATGCTGCTCAACTGTGGCTGATGCTGCGGCTGTCAATTCGCTCACTTGGAGTGATTTGATTTCTGTTTTCTTTGGAACCTAATTATTTTTGTAAATCTATTATTCACACAAAACGTGTAAATAAGCAGCTAAAAGAAAGTTTTAAATATTTTATAGTTCATATTTTTAACGTAGTTGAAGAAAAATATTATTTATTTATTAAATTATATTTCTTATCTTGTAATTAATATTTTAAAGAACTGATTATTTTGATGCAATTATAAATATTAAATTTTACACCAAACTACGGTGTTTCGTGGATATTTGGGTAGCTCTGCATAAATACTAAATTAGTATCACAACTCTGAGGGTAACTTCATTTTAAACGTTTTTAATTTGAGCTATAAAATTGTATAATTTAAACAATTTTCGAATATGATAATTTACCTGGCTCGACGAAAGAAAAGTAATTCGGGAAAAGAAAGTAACATATAATAATATATGTAGAAATACTTTTTCAATAATTTCCATGGTGACAGTATATATTACGGTAATTCTTAAAAATATTAATTAAGGATCGTGGGAGTATGAACAAAAAAGTATATTATAATATAAATTTAATGAATAGAAGTAACCGCCATACACGTGATACACGTACCTTTCGATGCAGGTGAGTTATTGCAGTGTATTTCGAGCTCAGTATCGAAGGCACAAGCTAAAGGAATCGGTAAAAAAAATTACACATTTTCTTTGAAAGTAAATAGCTCAATTCAAACGGTCACTCCACAATACCCCAATATTACAGAATTCCAACAAAACGGCCATGGATGGATCCTTCAATTTGCACGTGTTCTTGGGCAGTGAAGGAGGTCTCGAGCAGGCCGTGGAGGGCTATTATGGTGAGAATTATGGAAGGGAGTATGAAGAAACAAATCCGAGTCAAGTTAACATCTAGTTAATTTGTAAATAAGTCGATCTGAAACAATAAAATTACGAAATTACGTATGTAACACCGGCATTAACTGGTTCCCATGATCTCGGGCGTCAAAAAGCCGTTGGGCCAAAGGCCCTCTGTGAATACCGAGCTCTGTATCGAAGGCAATAACAAGCTATAACGTATCGGTAAAAAGTAATTTTCTTTGGAAGAGTAAAAATCTCAATTTAAATGTACCCCAACATTACAGACTTCCAAGGAAACGGCCATGGCCGGATCCTTCGACCTGCACGAGCTCTCGGAGCGAGTAAGCCGTCTCGAGCAGGCCGTGGAGGGCCTCTCCCAAGAGAGAGCGAGGCTGACGGAGCTGGAAAAACGGATGGGGCAGCTGGAGACGGCGGTGGACCGGGCGGTGGGCGCCCTCCTGCCCAAAGTGGACGCTCTGCTCGCGGCCCAAGGCCACCTGCCGGCGGGCGCCGACTCCGGGAGAGGTCCAACCGGAAGCACGTCCGGGTCCGACAGCGCCATCTACGCCACCGGCGGCCTGGCGCACGCCGGCTCCGGCGACCTGGCGCTCGGCAACTCGACGACGAGCATTAATGACTACGGCAGCAGCGCCAACGGTGAGGACGCGAACTACCTAACCACCCCCTCGGCCATGGTGGGCAGGCTCTTGTGCATCGAATCCGAGTGCAGCCAATGCGCTTCATGCACAAGTGTGCGTCACAATATCAACGGGAATTTTAAATGCCAAAATTATCACAAGTCATTGAAACAGATATATGAAGCTCATTTATTTAAATACCGCACCTTTTATTTCAATTATACCTTCATCGTGTTTTTTGTTGGTCACCGTTGAAAATTGTCACTTTTAAAATGTTTCTCAATGCTTCTCATTCCCCATGCAACATTGAGGAAACGTCTGGTCTGGCTTTCCAAACGAAGTGTCCGTGTTATGGTCTCGTGGTTCGTGACGCAAAGTGGTGCTCTGCAGAACGAGCAAAAATCGGTGCACTGAAGAAATCCACCCATCTCCAAACCCACCTCGATAAAAACGATTCGATTCACTTAGAATCGTTCATTTCAATGCAATTAAAATCAATTAATCGTCAAATTTTGGCAGTACTGATAAATCTTTGATGTGAATTTTGAAATTTTAGAAACAAACAGAACATTCTTTACAAAAATATAATCAATTTAAGTACATTTTAAAAATTGAAGAGGCATGTTTAAACGTAGGAATTTTTGTGTATAGATTAAGAAAAAAGATTAACTGAGATTTTTCGAAGAATCTAACTGAAAATTTGTCCACACTGTTTAATTTTTCAATTATATTCTTTTTAGAATTGCCAAATATAAAGTTATACAAATATAATTTTTTCAAATCAAAATCTTTATGATCACAAAAAAATGAATGGCAAATTTGAACATAAATCTAAGGACATTCATTTGGGAAAGTGGTTGATATCATATTTACCCTTAATTTAAACATATTCTGAGTAATTTCTTAGTTTCAGGGGTATGGTCCAGGATTAATTGTTTCAATTCACTAGAGAAAACTAATTTGAAAGTATTTAATTAATATCAAATTAACTAATCATTTTAAATTCAAATCAGAGATTAAGGAATTGATAAGTTTTAAATATGAATTTATTTTCCGATTCTGTTTAGATAATTGCTCAATAATAAGAACAAATTGTATGAATATGTATTTTAAAATAGAAAATTTAGAAAAAGAACAGACAATCGACAACCAAATGATAGATTAGTCAATGAATCAGTCAAAATCAGTGGCGAACCTAGAGGAAGGGAACAGGGAGGAGAATGAGGCTTCAGCGGCCGTAAATGATACATTTTAAAATATGTATATTTTACTAATTTTCAATGCTAGCGAGAGTTATTCTATTTAGGAATTGTTTAAGTTATAAATATTAACTACAATCCACTTCACATACACTCAAACACGTACTCATCCACTCAAACCTCTACCCATCCACTCAAACCTCTACCCATCCACTCAAACCTCTACCCATCCACT